ATGAATTGCATGTTAACACCAGCCAGGCTGGGACGCGTCAAGCACTCTGGACATCGATCTCGATGTTGGACGCACAGAGGCAACTTTTGTAAAGCGTCACAGCAGCGCACATCCAAATGCTGCAGTTGCTTGCATTGCCATTGATTTCCTTAGGTTTCTGCTGTGGTCCTGACCAAAGAATACCAGGCGTGGATCCTCCACATGGCTTAGGCGTTCTTGACGATAGCAGTCTCTCACTCACAATTCAATCAAACCACAACGTGCCTTGCACATGCCTTATTATGTTTTTTAGATGAGGAAATCATCCTGAATTTGAGACATGTGTTAAAGGAGTTCACCATCTGTTCAGAACAAGTTCACCATTTGGTTAAGGCTATTAGAAGAGGATCGGCTACAAACAAGCAGTTGTTCCACCCACAAGATGTACTCCACCGTGTTGAAATCCAACATCACGTCTCCAGATGTCAATGAGCAGATGCGCCGACAGCACGACGATGTCAGGTTCTTGGTGCAGTCTTTTTCGGACAACTTGAAGCTCGCGGCTCGTGGTGCTCGTCAGCTAGATAGAGACGTTCTTTCAATTCTGACAGTCCAGCCAACCAGATCAAACTAAACACAACATCAAGCAACATCCAACCAAGGCCACACACACATAACAAATCTATTATGTATATTTATATATAAACCAATCTATTATATACTTATATATATATAGGCACATCATTTGTTGATGCCTACTGATCACTCATTTTCTGTGTGGACATGCTGTTAGCATCAGGGCTGGGCGCTCAAACACAGTGGCGACAACCTCACCGGCGAGGCCACGGAGCTTTTTTCCAAATGGAATGCACTTGAAGGAACAAGAGGACGCTACTAGGGGCTCCCGGCATCGCTACTAGGAGCAAGGACGCTACTAGGGGCTCCTGGCCGTACTACTAGGAACAGGGGAGCTTCCTTGATCTATAAGCATGGTAAAGCGATGGGTTCCAACCTAATAGCGATGGCTCCAACCTAATAGCGATGACCTCCAACCTAATGGCGTTGGCCTCCAACCTAATAGCGGCGGCCTCCAACCAAAGAGCGATGGCCTCCAACCTAATAGCGATGGCCTCCAACCTACTAGCGATGGCCTCCAAGCTAATAACAATGGCCTCCAACCTAATAGCGATGGGCTCCAACCTATTGGCGATGGGCTCCAACCTAATAATGGCGATGGCCTCCAACCTAATAGCGATGGGCTCCAACCTAATGGCGATGGGCTCCAACCAATAGGGATGGCCTCCAAGCTAATTGCGATGGCTACGTAGCGATGGCCCCCCTCCCACCTAACCTAATAGCGATGGGTTCCAACCTAAGAGCGATGGCCTCCAACCCAATAGCGATGGTGTGCGAGGGCCTCCAACCCATAGCGATGGCCTCCAACCAATGGGGATGGCCTCCACCCTAATAGCGTTGGCCTCCAACCTAATGGCAATGGCCTCCACCCGAGCAGCGATTTCCTCCAACCTCATAGCGATGGCCTCCACCCCGCTAGCGATGGCCTTCAATCTAAGAGCGATGGCCTCCAAACCACTAGCGATGGCCTTCAACCTACTGGCGATGGCCTCCAACCTACTAGCGATGGCCTCCAACCTAGTAGCGATGGCCTCCAACCTGATTGCGATGGCCTCCAACCTGATTGCGATGGCCTCCAAACCACTAGCGATGGCCTCCAACCTAGTAGCGACGGCCTGCAACCTAATAGCGATAAGGTAAAACTGTGACATGGTGTGTTGCTTGCTGCGCTTTATGTTTTTTCATGAATCATGAGTTTCTTCATATAACTTTGAGGGTGGGGGCGATGATGAGGACTGGATCTCAGGCTGAGTGATTTGCGCTCTCAATACTCCCAGGTTGCCCAGATAGACCAATGGCATTTCAGTGACATTATCATCCCGCAAATTCAGCGAGGTAATTGAAGTTGATCTTCGGTCGATCCCAGCGAAGCCCTCAATGGATGTCACTCTCGAAATCGCTTGTTGTTTATCCATTTGATCGATCGTGGAGTAACTGCCTAGACATGCCTAGTCTTTGTCTTGAGTTTAAGTTTGTAGATGTTGACTTGAGGCAGAGGTAGCGCAGATCTTCTTTGTGGTGAATGTTGGATACTCGTACTCAGCGACGGACACTGCTGTGTCTGTTCTGTGCCAGTGAGTTGGACCTTTGTGAACAATTGGGCGGCTTGCCACGAAGATTGTTCTGAAATTAACTGTCAGAGGTCTACACTCGTGGAATCACCTTTGAAAGCATCCAAAGGGCCTACTGCAAAGAACTTACAGAATCCAATGCAGTACTGTGTGGCTCTCTGTTAATGTGTACCTCCTTTGTCAGAACTCAGACAGACATAAAGCAACATTGCACTAATTGCGCTGACTTTAGGCCGGATCTTTGATGCAGCAGGCGAAGAAATGGCCAGATACGTCACGGCCAAAGACGTCTTGGGCACCAGGTTCAGACTTGAATGCAAGGCTTTGCAAAGATGAACCATTTTGCATGGCTTTTGTAATTTCCTTTTGTCGTTACGAGGTTCACCTTGGTTCAACGATGTTCACCGGTCTTGGGCGAATGAGGTCCTGCACGATGGGCGCGGTGAATGCGGCCTGATCATGGGGCGTTTCTTTCATGAGTGCGGATGCCCACAAACCTGAAGCTTAAACCCGAACTTCTTGGTGATATATGATTGCATCATGATTCATGCTTGAGTCACGTGGTTGGTATTATACAATATATATATATTTTTTTTTAACGTTAAAATGTGTATATACATTACATACAGCAAACTAAAGAGGGGCCCACGATTGGGCTATTGAAGATGTTTGTATGGGTGAGAAAACCCTGCCAGTGGGATTTGTTGGCATTTTTGGGTAGGCGTGTGAGGCACTCTCATCCTACTCAAATGTGGAACTGAGAACTTATGGCAACTTGGACGTTTTGCGATTGCGTCAAGCGGCTAAGGGAACTCTACATCAGCGTACCTCGCTCCCAAGTACATAAAGCCTTTTGATATAAGACTGTACAGTAGGCATCCGGCGGATACCGGCATCCGCATTCAATCAAATTTGTCAGCCCTCAGATTCAACCAAGATCCTCAACCAACCGCACATTCATACCGTGGGGGCATAGAGTATTTTGCATCACAGAGCTGTAGTTTCACCAAAGCCTTTGTGATATCTAAATTCCAGAATATGCTGGATGAACTAGTATGCACAAGCTAAACTTGGGTTTTGAGGTTTTCGGGTGACGCTGCCCGCTGGGGCTTCCAGGCTCGGTTCTTTTATGCAAGACTGTAGCTTGTATGAGTTTCTCCTTTTGTTCTCTCACTGGGTTCTTCTCAAGCTATCCTGCCCGTCTCTTCAGTAGCTGTTTTTGCATGTTTATTTGCCCCATCTCCGGCTATCTCCATGAGCTCAAACTAGACTGGACTGCAAATGCGAGGCTCTTGGCAGCTTCTGCAAGGGCCAGACATGGAAAGATTCAGTGGGCTGCTTGTTCTTGTTCCTTCTGGAACCTGACATATTGGAAGGCTTTAACGTTGACACCCATTCAGGTGCCAGCTATTGCAGCACTGGCCAGACAGAGCCCCAAACAGCATAGTCCTTAGAGGCAATGGTCTCCAATCTGTGAATCTCTTGACAGCCCTGCAAACCGCATAACCTTTGACAGATCATGGCATATAGATTTTGTACGAAGCTTTTGTTTGGAAACTCGACGGTAAATTTTTCTATTTGAAACGTTTGTACGAAGCCAGATCACAGGGCCAAGTTTTCTATTTGAATGGCTCAAAGATACGCGCATTAGCTTGAACGAGGCTGCAAATGCGAAGCGGGACAATCAGCATAGATGGGTCAAGCGCTCAGAGCCCGCGGGTCCCTGGGCCGAAGACTTGCAACTGGCAATTGTCACCCCTTGCCTGTTGGAAGCAATGAGTGCAGAAGGAGATTTGGCAGTTGTTGAAACATATATCAAATTCTTTGTGGTTGACGAACGGAGGCATGATTTACAGCTGTTGAAAACATGAGTGCAAAATGGCACTTGGACCATTCATTTTATAGTCAGGTGGGCAAACATATAAGAACGACAACTTAGATGCAGCTATTTCTTTGAAAGAACGTATGCGTTGTAAAAGTTTGGGCTTTGGATGCATTTGCGTGATAACAGTTGAATCGCCTGGGAAAACGGATACTGAATGGGAGTCTCGCATCACCCACAGCCACTTGGTATGTCAAGCAGTTTTTCCGCACCTGAATTCATTGCAAGCTGATCAAACGCGCAAGTTACCTAAGACCAGTTGACTTTAGTCTATCATGCTTGATTAATCTTCACCATACTTGACCATGGCACTTGCCCACCACTGAAGGCCAGGTGGACGACCTGCACCAGTGAAGGCCATGCCAACTATCCAGGCAAAACGAAAGTCCAGGGGGGTTGCTTTGTACATCTTTGTGCAACGTGACTTAGCTTCAAGAGTATGAGGGCGTTCTCTGGATTCGAGGGTGAGAAGATGATAGAAAGAAAAAACAATTGCCAATAGAACACTATGCATTTTCCTATCCTTTCCTGGCATCACCCTCAACATGGAAATCTCTGAATTTGGCCAGGAGCCACCACGGTCTTCAGCCTGCGCCGTCCCCTGGCTGCAAAGGCGGTTCAAACACATGATTTGAGCTCCGTGTGCAGATATTGTGTCAAGTTGCAGCTCAGGTCCTGTGACTTAGCTAGATCATCTTTTCGTTGAATTTGGTGGCCTGATGAAATCACGGCTTCCTGTCACACGTGCTTGGAGCTATCTTGCTGTGTGCAAGCCTTCCGACGTGTTAGACCCGGAGCAACTGCTTTCATTCTGGGAAAGGATCCGGGTGCCCTTTGCGAAGGATTTTTGTCCTATCTTGAATGCCAGTTCTAGGCTGCTGTAGTGCATGACATGCGAGTTGTGGCATGTTGGATCATTTTTGACATTTGCATGGCTTAAGAACTTTCCATTCGTACTTTTCGAGCGTGCCGCGGGAGATCCCTGGCGCAAAGAGGAGCCTGTGGTTCAATCGGTGAACTGTGGATGTCCCACATTTGTCACTTGTCCCCGTCAAGGCGACACATAGGAGGCATCAGACTGCCATCATCAGGCATCAAGCATCATCAAGCCATCAAACTGCCCGAAACCGGTGACACCGTTGTGCAACCGATGGTTACCATGTGTGCTGATGATGACAATGTCCCAAAGAGAAGTTGAGACTACGATCCAAGTCTTGTCAAGGCCTTTGGGTTCGTAACCCGCACTTCCCACTAGTTACATGATTATGTGACAGTGTTGTGAAAACATAACGGAATGAGAACGGAAAACATATCATTATGTTTTGGCGAATTATGTTTGACAATTTGGTGAGCACGATGACAACTGTTGTGACTGGTGGGACGATGTGGACAGGACAATGAAGATTGCTCCAACATGTTGGGAATGTGAAAACGGTGACAGTCGTGTGGAAAGTGATTCCAATGCTGTCAGAATGAAAGACTGTTGTCAAAGCTTTGGGTGTGAGGTGCCCGCTGCTGAACCAACTTGACAAACCTTCTCGGCGCACGTCCTATCCACATCTAGTAGTATAGGGAACTACGAGCTCCAAGATTTAATTCTAGATTCTAATCCTACTTCTCCTTGGTGCAGTACAAGTCTTGTGAGGCTAGATGCTACTAACTCAGGCTGAGCAGACTTGATGCTGAAAGTGAGAAGCTGCTAGGACCACACGTGTCCCCGCGGCCGCCATCGTCTACTGCGTGGTTGCCTCGATACGTATTTTTTGGGTTTTGTTAGTTTTGTTTGATGACTCTATGCGCCATCCTCGATGGTCATGGGATCTATTCGGCTTTGAATTTGGATGCCAAGGCAGTTAAGGACTAATTCCTGCACCACGATCGCTGGTGGACGACCACAAGCATGAGTTCATCGTGCTCAAGGGACATGAAGACACATCAGGGGCAATCTCAAACTGTGAGAGCGTAGCTCTACAATGTCAGGAGGTCAACCACAGACACTTGTGATCACTCGTGCAGGAAGGACTTGTCTGGAAGTATTGATCACTACTCACGCGCTTTATAGATGGAGCAAGCGCAAGCCAAGCATAGCAAAGCGCCGTGACGCATCTTGAAGCGATTGAACATGACAGGTACGGTAAGGCAGACTATGAGAGCCTGAACCTGCGAAGCGGCACCAGAGGCCTTATGTATTCGATGCATTTTTTGTTTTTTGGCCTACTCCTACTTAATTTATCTTAATTAATCTTAAGTAAGTGAGTAAGCTACTAGGCCAAACTTAACTGGAAAGGTGAAAGGCCAGAGGATGGCTCTTATCATTTGAACTCTTGATATGCTCTTTCGAGACCGCTGAAGTGCTGAATTTCTTGTTGACAAATCGTTTGTCAATCCTTCAGGTATCGACTCGCCAGAGGTGCCTGGAAGACGGCTCTACGATGTTTGCATGGCCATTCACAGCCCGTTTGAGTAATCATTATATGTCACACGATCTTCAAGTTGTTCGGACTTCATGGTGCCAGGTCTTCCAGTACAAGACCTCAAAGAGAGTGAGGCCAGCCATGCTGTAAGATGAGTAAGATATCTCCGAGTTTTTTCCTAATCTCTTGGAGCCAGTTGGGTCAATGCATCTATTCACAGCTTCAGTCAGTGGGCTTGATTTCTTACGTGCATTTGCTTTCCCTCTATTGCGTGTGAGTGATGAGTTATCGATTATAATGAGACTCTTTTTGGTTAGCATCACACTCCCCACCAGAATGCGCTTGGTTAGCATTGTCTAGGTTTGAAGAGCGAGACGATGAGTACTACAACGTCCGGGTGCTCCACACACGCTTGGTTGGCACCCAGTCATGTTCGGGTTGGCACAGCTGGAGCCACCGGAAACTGCCCGTGCTTTGAACGTCATGCCTTTTGCAGACTCTTGCCAGGCTTTAGACAACCCTTCTGAAGCAGATAAGGCAAAGATGCAGGTGCCATTGCTTGGACTTTTGCTCTGATGATGTTTCTGAATTGGTTCGATGTTCTCTATGTTCGATGGAATTTGTGCCTCGTTGGTTGGCTGCCTTGCAGATGTGTGTGCTTGGACCCGCCTGGTCTCAATTGCGGTCTGATCAAGGATGAATAGAGTTTTCAGTGACAAGGGTAAAGCACGTGACACTTCACTCACCTGCGCTAGCTTGCCCACAGCAGCCAAGAGTACCAGCATCCTTGAAAGATGTTCAAAGTTTGAGCTTGTATAGAAACTTGCAGGACAATATAGGACAAGGCCTCTCATCCCACTGGCATTCAATGTCCATGAACCAACAAGCAGCAGCCAAAGCGTTTTGTACAGAATGAGAGCCAAAGGCGCGCCAAACAGATCATGCACGACTCTTCAGTGTAATTCATCCTGGACTGATTCCCTCACCGACTAGCCGTCCATAAAGGTGGACATTTGCAGAACACTAACTAGAAAAAAGCAAAGAATAATTCTTCAGATAGGAAAAGGGAATGTAAGGGCTCCTTTAATTATGTTTTTTTTCCTGACTGGGTCGGTCTCTGCAGCGTAGTGAGTGCAAGATGTTGATGTGAAGATGGGCTTTGACCGATGCATAGAGGTCTAACATGCAGCCATCGGCAGACCTGTGGGAGAAGGTTCCTGGCTACTCTTCTGACGACGAGGCCAGGAAAGTTCAAGCCATGGAGCAAACTGGAAGGGTAGAGAGAAAGCCATTGAGCTATGAAACAATATGATAAGTGGACACTAAATGAAGTAGGATGATCCAGGACTTCTCAGAGGGTCCTTTGGCCAGGACGGGGCAGGGCTTCCTGAGCCTACACCACAACAGCTTGAGGGCCGACTGACAGAGGCCGGAGAGAAAGCTATTCCAAAAATGACTCAAGTGATTTCTAGGAAAACCAACCAGAGTTCGATCCACAGAACACAAAAGGCGAAAAACAAATGACAAGAGTGACATTGCAAGGCGAACACTTTTTTTTTGATATGTCCTTTTTCATTATTTTCCCTTTCCAGCAATCCAATTTGAGCCGGGGAGTATGCCACTGGGGCTTCCCGGATGAAACGGATGGAGATTGATTGGCTGCTAGTCCGGTCCAGAACAAGGGCCAAAGCAAAGCATTCAAACAAATAGTTACTGTAAGTGAGATCTTAAGAGGAAGGAAGAGACAGTTACATACAGTATCATACAGTTAATTATGTACATCCTTTCTTGGATACTTTAACACTTTTTTGCTATATTGTACGGCCAACATGCTTTTAAACATGTTTAAACTGTTGCCTGGCCGGAACAAGAAGCTACTAGGAACAAGTGCATCGCTTCTAGTAACAAGTGCCTTACTAGTAGTAACAAGAAGCTAGTAGTAACAGGTGCATCGCTAGTAGTAACAAGTGCCTTACTAGTAGTAAC